TTTTCTCATATTAATTTTGTGTTATCTAGTTTTGTAAGTTAATCAGAGTGTTAAACTGAATAAAAGGTAGATTCTACTGTATTTATTTACATTGACAACTGTCCGTTTCTTAGAAAGGGCTACAACCAAGATTAGCACCGATGTCTATACGCCGTTTTTCCGGCATATTTACTTGAATATGCGACTGAGGCCCTCGAATCAATAAATTTCAATATAACAAGAGCGCATGACTCTTTGGCAAACAGGCCAAATCGTCATGTTTTGTTTGTTTACTGGGCCCTGTATGTATTGCGCATAGGTGAAACCGGGCTATAACAAGAGCGCGTGACTATGTTAACACATGGTTTTGGTCCCGTTATAACATGGGCAAAATAGGGAAAAATAGCCGATTTTATGCTATAATAGCACAAATTGACAACTTTGACTTTCAAATCATATACGTATATTATGAGGTATGATCAAAAAGTATACTTATATTTATATAGTATATTTATACTTCTAGCCACTACACTGACATTTGCCACCAATGGCATTTTATAAAACCCAGTTTTTTAATGTAAATAAAATAATTAAAAATAATAAATTTTAAAATGATAAAAAGAAAAGGCAAATAGAATAATAATAATTTCATGTATGAATGTGAGTGTGTATTTATTTTCATCAGGATTAAACATGGGTCCATTTCTTCGATCCAGAGTCCATAAGACAGAGCATGCAGTGGAAGCACCCTGGCTCACCCCCTCCGAAGAAAATCAAGAGGGTGCCATCAGCAGGAAAGATGATGGCTTTAATTGTTTGGGTTAGTCAGGGAATAATCATGTTTGACTACCTTGAGCAAGGCCATACCATAAACGGTACGTACTATGCAGACGAATTGAGACGTCTGCATCAAGAATTTGCGCGTAAAAGGAGGGGCAAATTGACTCCTGCACGACAATGCGCTAGCTCACACATCCCAAGTTGCGATGGCTGCTGCAACTGACTGCGGCTTTGAAATCCTTCCCCATCCCCCATTTTCTCCGGACTTGGCCCCCTCTTCTGACTTCTACCTGTTTCCGAAACTGAAAACCAAGCTTCGTGGTAGACGTTTCGGAAGCAATGAAGGTGTCATGGAGGCGGTAAATGATTTTTTTGAGGACCAAAATAGAGACTGAGAGTTCTTTTTTGAAGGGTTAAACAAGTTGGAGCATAGGTGGGCAAAGTGCATTGATGTATTGGGCGATTATATTGAAAAGTTTAGTTGTGTTCTCTGACTACAGGAAGTACATCTGGCCAAGAACTTTTTGATCAATCCTCGTACATTTATGTACTTCAGTAGTTTGAATATATATTAAATTTGAATTGTTCTTTTTTGAGGGAGGATTGATATGTTGTTAAAATGAGTTCTCTCTTTAAATAAAGTCTTTATTCTAGTATAATTATTGTTCATTGCTGATTATAATATCTGATAAAATAAAATCTGACATTTACCCTTATATAATAAATCTGACATAGATCTAGTTCAATCTTGTATAATAAATCTGATATAATCAAACATTGTATAATAAATCTAATATATAATCTGTAATGACAAAGTCTGATAGCACTGTAACACCGCACTTTGGGGTCCAACGTACTTTGGGATCGAACCCCAGAGCGCGTTACGTACTTTGGGCAACGTGCGTTAAATAGGTACATAAGCATTTTTTAACATCAGACAAGCGACCGCACTTTGGGCTCATAAAATGTCAATCAATAAAAATGAATTTTTATGACGTTTTAAACGATATATTGTAGTCAAAGACAATGGTAAACATATCGAAACATGTGCCCTGAATTATAGTAGAATCAATAGGGATTTTAAATGATCTTGATCAGTTAGTGAAGAACTTTCATCAAATAAAAAAAAATGTATTAATTATTAAGCTAAAAAATTATTTTTAGTTAATCGCATCATTGTCCTGTGTTTTTTATTTACACATTTTATAGAAATATGATAGTCTTAGACAAAGGTATAAATCCTGGGAAATCTAAATAAGACATTTCATTAAAAAATGTGCCTGATAAAATCTTGAAAGGACCATTTATTTAGCTTATCTAAAAGTAACATTTAAAAAACTTGACTAGGTGTAGATGCCGCCTTAAGTAGTAGTATATGTAGTCCGTACAGGCATGGCAGTAAAACTATTTTAGTATATAGTCACACATTAAGAGCGGAACTTCATGAAAATGTAAAGTTCTCATTTAGGGGTCTAGGTGTCGATCGCCCCGAGATTATAGAAATAAAGTTTTAAAGGCCCAAAATGCTTTTATTTGTATTTCTTAAAAGCTTTCTAATTTTGGCGTACTTCTATATTATCTAAAAAGATACCCATTGGCCAATTACCTGAACCATTTTTTTCATCTGTTGCTTTTTTGCAATGAGTGCAGTTATAGTAAATGAGTATTTTATATGGAAGTACTTTACTACAATTTACATTTTGCTACTTTATGACAAATTATTTCACATTTATCGCTGCTTTATTCAGGTAACAAGCATCTTACATTTCTCTGATACCATTATTTAAACATTATAAAATGCATGCTTGGCCTTTCTATGTATGGGTAAGAGTTTGTATTAAGACGACCGTAGGGAGTCTTATCAAACTCTTACCCATATAACTGCAAATCGGCTCTTACAACTCGAGATCAGATAAAAATATAGTAAGCATAACATTATTTTTCCTCAGCAGTCACGTACAAACAAGGATAGGGTCCAATTACATAATCTTGCATGTAAAACAATGAGTTTTCAGCAATACCTAGGAGTGTTAATGCAATTCATTCCTGTCTTATGAAACAAAATAATGTTTTGCTTACTTTTTCTAGAAAACATAAACAGTCAGCAATCATAATTATTCAGATGCTCGTTCATTGGTTACGTTTTCCCGGGGTTTCATACTGTGACAACAGGGAACGTGTTATTTTATTTGACTATGATACAAAAGAGAAAGAACATCAAAACACTCGGCAATCGATGCTCTTTCTATAGACCGCTTGTCCTGAGAATATACACGAGTATGTATATACTAAATAAATGGAAACAACCGTAATTCTTCCAGAGTCTGAGTGTATTACCATCTAGAACTTTTGTAGTGGTGATTAAATATTTACGTCTCTTTTGAAATATGAATCATAACTTAGAGAATAATTTAAATACAAATGTTTTAAGCTACTTAAATTATTTACAAGGAAAGTTGATCCATTCCCCTTGATGCCGAATTTGTTTTTGCTAAAACTTTAAACTTCACTTTGCCAAAATGTAAGAAAAGTTTTGAGATTTATGTCTTTAAGCAACTGTATATTTCTTGTGTATCTTTCGCGCAGAATTGATACAGAGCTCATATGGGGTTATCTGTAATGAAATGACCGGTAAATACGTATCTGTACAGTTTTTTTTTACAAAAATAATCTTAAATTTTTTAGTTTATCTGTAACAGATAACAGACATTAAAATCTCAGAAGTGACTGTATTTATTATGAACAACTAATTCATTGATTCTAAAATCAATCGTGAGATAAATTACCCAAGAATTGTTTTGAATGCAAAAACCGTCGTGTCATTCAAAAAAAGCTGAAATAGGTACAAACATTTCTTGGTAAAATATGATGGAGTTCCCGCTAGTAAAATTAGTAATTGTATTTTGTTTTAATAGATCGTTGTACAATTTTAGCAATTATCAAAATTTCTAATACAATATTAAGTAATCAAAACGAAAGGTCCAAGTATTAAATAGCAGATATGTATAAACCCTACAGTTTCTTCAATGACCTTTGAGCACAAAACATTTATGATCTTTTAATATCTTAAGAAGTTTGGAGGCGGCGTGGTGTATCGTTCCCTATATATATTTATTTAGCCAAAACCGTTTTTATGTATAAGGTAACTGCGACCTTGGCCCCTTAAGCATCCAATCTCAAAATAATAAGGTATTCTACTCATTAATCCTTACTTTGCTGGAACCAAAAGTGATAAACCTTTCTACCAGTAAAAAGCCAGGTCAATCTTCTCACCCGTGCAGTCTGACCAGGCTCTTTACTGATGGCTGACTAACTTTTAATTTCCGTATTGATATCCCCAAAATTGACATAATGGTAGCTGTACAAGTCAACAAATTGAGCTGCTTTGATGTTAAGGACTATCATGCTGTAGCTCACATTGTTCTCGTGTTATCAAACGGAACTCACTATTACCGTGACTGCGCTCTTGTCGAAAAAGGAGCGTTCTTTCTCTTATTTACAGCTAGTTTTAGATCTATGAGTTGTATTGCTCTCTAGACTCTAGTTATTGAGCGGAAACGATCTTCCGGTGAACAATAAACCGACCAACCGGCAAATGGACCGGGCACCATTTGCAAAACAATGGAATGGAAAGGAGGTGAAATTTTTTAACCAATATTAAATTTTTATCTAAAATGTTTTTAAACTATGTATATTGTCTGCTTATTATGCACAGCTTATTCATTTATTCTGAGGATCAGTCGTGAGACTTAACTATTGAAGAATTGTTTTGAATGTAAAATGTGTTTGCCGGTGATGATTAATAAAAAATAGGCATATGCCAGTTGCATGGAGACTTTTTTATTGTCGTTCAAGTACAACATTTAGTTCTAATATATAAATTGTCTTATTATGATTATACGCCGAAAGTGTGCATCAATATGGCGATATGGACGCTCATGAAGTTCTTAAATGATTAAAGAAATTTATATGCATATCTTTTTCTTTATTATAAAATGTATAACACAACATGTATGGCAAGCAAATCTATAAATAGAACATACGGAGATCCGACACAACTGTAAATAAATAAATTATTAACAATCCTTAATTGCGTATAAATAAAACTGACTGCCCATGAAAATCGGATTTAAAACATTTCATTATGTTACGTGATTCAATCATGCGTCCGATGAACATAATCAATTCACATTAAAGTGTATTGGATTTCACTGTTTACGTATGAATTAACAAAAGATCGATAAAAAGTCATTCATGTTTTTTATTGGGCAGTGTTAACCCATCCAAATCAACCATATACATTTGTATTTAAATGTTAGTTCAACCGAAAGTTTAACCAGACTTGAACAGAAGAATAGCAACCTGTCCCAGGTAGAAGTAAATAAAATGCTTGGTTTCATGAGTGACGTAGCTGCCGAAGTTTCTTCCCACAATGCAATGCCATGTTGGGTTGTACTTTTTGTCAAACTCTTTCTTGATATAAGCAGCAATGTCCTTCTCAATGTTAAACTTTTCAAGTGCCTGTGTAGCACAGTCAACGGCATCTTGTTGCGTCTCTTCTGACATGTCCGCGTTCTTAATCACTGCTTTTCTTTCCGCCATTTTACCTAAAAAAGTAGCAATTTTAATGTAATTCACATTACTTTAATAGGTTCACAATGATACAAAAGTAAAACTTTAGAAACAATTTTTAAGTTATTTAAATTTATAATAACTGAAAAAAATACTGGAGTCGACTTCACGGAATTCTAAGTACAGGAGTACTTAAAAATACTAATAGCTATTCCATAAAAAATAATGTTATCCCACTAAACCATTGTATTATATTACTGTCAATAGTATTGCTTGTCTTAGCCATTCTTCTCATAAACAATTTGAAATGACCAAAGGTTGTTTTTGCTAATTTTAATTAATAAACTTGAAACTGAAAGCTTGTGTATCAAGGAAGAAAAGTGCTACCAATAAACCCCAATGGATCGCAAAGTTAAACGATGAATTCCTTTGAAATTAAGATTGATAAAATAGGATATTGTTTTACTGAAATTAATTGAAATAACATTACTAATCTATCACTTAATGAATAAATGTTGATGTTGTTTTGTTGATTAATTAAAACAAAGAACTGTTGATAATGTGTAATTTTCAAATAAAAATCAATGATTGTTTATCAATAAAAAATACTATGAATAATTCAAAAACAAGAGCAAAAATGAAAAAAATGAAAACTATTCATATTTTGAGATACATGAAAATGTATCGGTATCATATTAAAACATCAAAACAAACTTCACCTTCTGGAAAGTTTGTGATGTATGCATGTAAGAAAAATGTTTAAATTTTTTAACATTTTTAATTCTATAAAAAAAGAGAAACGTTACCTTTTAAACTGTTGAATGTCTTCCTAAGTCTGTTAATTAAGTGATATGTTGTCAGTAACCAATTAACACTTACTATTTTATATTAGCAACGTGAATCTTTGCTCTCGTTGGCTGTAAAACGGATATCTTTATTAGTATTTTCTATCAGCGCGCCATATTTGACGGTGAAAGTTTAATTTACACATGAACATATTTCCAATATTCAATACCACACAATATTGATTAACGGTCATGGTAAACAGTATGATATCTGATATCATACTGTTTACCAATAATCTGAGAGAAATATAACCGAGTTACGAAGAGTTACTAAAATAAAGAATGATAAATATATATAAATGATACATATGTATTTGCTATGTATCACTTTTATTTTTGTGCAGGACATAAAGGAAATTTAATTAAAAGCATATATCAATTATTAAAACATTTTCCAAATTAAAAATACTTCAGTTTGCATTATTTTTGTGAGGAAGAAGGGTTGTAGAATGGATAAAAGGGGCGGGGGTAGTGACCAATCAACGCGCCGAATACCTGTGCTATATGATTGCTCTCCAAATTTATACACGTTTGAGGGAATTTCGTCTCTTCACATATGCAAATGATATATACCAAAAACAGAAATAAGCAACGTTCATGTATTGATATCTGAAATCGTTGTGAAACAAAAATGATTACATTTTATGCATTATATGGTGGCTGATTTGTGCCATATCGTCTATTTTCCCTCGCGAAAACATGAAAATACGAAAAAATAAGGCAAAGACAAAGTATGTTGTCATTTCGCCTAAAATATATATGTTGTATGATCGTGTTTTCGCCTCCCCCACGCGGAGCGAAAGAAAGACACAGTACGAATGTTTATTTTAACCTAGCCCACGATGGATAGTGAAAACACGATGGTCAGATAACAAGATGATAAAAATGTGATGTAATAATAATAAAAATACGATGACACGATGATAAAATCGCGATGATGCGATGAAATGTTGTGTTTTCATCACGTATCGTCGTACATTCATCAGCATACTATTATACCATCGTGATCATCACGATTTCAGTGTTTTTACCATTGAACCACTTGTCGAATTCACCATTAAGCGTCCTGGATTCGCAGTTTCGCGATTTCAACATATCAAATTCCTAATTAACGATTTCAACTCAACTTGAAACATGGAATCTATATTTCAATAACATGACTTATATTCTTGAATTCAAGTTCACAAATGCACGTTTTAACCTGCACGAATTTAACTTCATAGGGTTAACATTTTTTTCCCACAAATTTAAAGATTCCAACACAGGCACGAGTACCGGACCTGGGGAAAAGTATGACCACATTGATAAGAAGCCTCTGTATTCATCTTAAATGTGTAAAAATCACATATACAGTTCGTAAATAACAAATGACGAAATGTACGAACATTAGGTGTAAAAGTAAGCACACTAAACGATTTTATATATGGCTGGTCTTGAAAGAACGGACATAGTCTTATAATTGTGGTGTACAATATAACATATTGCTTGAAAGTAACTATCAGCCCTGAAATAAATATTTAAATCATATACAATTTATATAAAATGATGTTAAATTACATCGAAAGTCAACCACAAAAATCAAATTTGGCTTCAATAGTTGTTGATGTTTTATCGAGACTAGGTTATTACCATATTTGGCTAGAACAGGGAGTAGGAGATTAGAGCTCTTTCTTATAAACCTATATGTAGTGCTGGTTTTCAACCATGCCTTAAATATATACTTAATGTCACTAAATACTAAATATAGAAAAAAACATTATTATATGTAGATTAAGCATGTAAGAGTATCCTCATATCGGTAAAATATATAGAATGTGGCCGGTGGAATAGAACTGTGATTGTATATTTTGTAGTAAGTTGGAAGATGAAGTTCACTTCCTTTTTACTGTAATCTGTATGACTCAGTTAGAGATATAATATAAATATATACTACAGAGTTCGGCCAAGCATTTTAAAATGACTGAATTGTTTTAATCAGAAAATGTTATAGTGATAATAAATTTATCTGTATATGTATATCAACTCAACTCAAACTCAACTCAAATAATTTTATTGCGTTAAACATACAATATATGTTTATTGCACATACAACATAACAATAGGCAGAAGACATGGATTTTTCAAGGAGCACAAAAATACAATGTAAAACATATGAATTCATAATTGTGACGTGTTTGAGGTTTTGTAAAACTATTTTCTAATCAAATTTGCATAATATAAATATTTAGAAAGATCTCTTACAATTATTTTAGATTCAGACAATAATAAATTAGTAAATTTCTGCAATGTAGGCCATGTATAATAGTAGCGTCTGAGATATTTTTTGCGAAGGTCAGCATATTGTGAGCATGTAAACAAAAAGTGAAATTCGTTTTCAATTCGTCTCGAAGAACAATTATTGCATATTCTTTCCAGTCTAGGTAAGTTTGTATATCTTCCCTTTTCAATTAACAAGTCGTGAGATGATGTGCGAAATTTTGTAAGCGCAACTCGAAATCTTTTGTCCTTAATATAATCAAGATAACTTTCAAATTCAAATTTATATTTTATAGAACTGTATGTATCTAGACGACTAGAATTATTGATAGAACAATACCAACTTTGATAATAAATATCTAGTATGCGTCGTTCAATAATATTGTAGTTAATTAACATGCTATATTGGTTTTGCCAAATATACGAAAGTCCGCATTTATCAAGTATAATTTTAATTTGATAAGCCCAATTACACTTATTATATGTGTTATTTCCTTCAACATCGACTTTAAGCATGTTATAGGTTTTGAAAAGAAGAGATTCTTTTTTACATGTCAATAATTTAATCCAATATTTTACCATTATTAATTGTCTACGAATGCTCATTGGGATTCTAGCTAATTCGCCGTAAAGAGCGTCTAAATTTGTAGAGCGTTTGACAGATAATACTTTTCTACAGAATTTGGAGTGAATGAGTTCAACATCAGGTCCGACATGATGACCCCAGATTTCAGCCGCGTAATTTAACGTAGAAGCTACCAATGAATCGAATAAGTCACATTGTTTGGACACGGGTAAATCAAGTTGGTTAAAAACAATAAACAAATTGTGTAATGAGTACGAGCCGTGCTGGGCTATTCGCTTTTGTGTTCGGTTCCAATTGCCATTTTTATATAAATGAACGCCCAAATATTTAAAAGAATCTACTAACTCTATATGATTGTTATAAAGATAAAAATCAAATTTGGTATGTCGGCCTTTTTCAAAAATCATGGTTTTTGTTTTGCTGGCATTAAGACGTAAGCCCCATGTATTGCTATATTCTTCAATGTCGTTTAACATGGACTGTAGGGAGTTTGGATCGTGAGCAAATAAAACTGCGTCATCGGCAAAAAGTAATAAAAATAATTGAATGTCGCCAATGTTCATTATTCCATTAATATCTGTATTTACATTATTAACAATATCGTTTAAAAAGAAAAGACACAAAATGCTGCTGGCGGGGTCACCTTGTTTCACTCCAATGTTTGAATTTATAAAGTTAGAGTTAGTCGAATTATACCTTACAAACGATTTAACCGTTGAGTACATTGACTTTATAGCCATTACAAATTTTGTACTAACATTTGCATTCATTAGTTTTTGCCACAAGTAAAGTCTATCAATTCTGTCAAACATTTTTTCCCAATCGAGAAAGGCTACATATAATTTTTTCTTTTCAGCAAGAGTTTTTGAAATAAGAGCGTGTAAAATATAAATACAGTCAATCGTTGATTTATTCTTTTGATATATATATATATATATATATATATATATATATATATATATATATATATATATATATATATATATATATATATATATATAGGGCGTTTGAGGTAAGATGTAGATATAACATTTAGATAGTATATATTGTTTTCCATTCTCTAACAATTGTATTGTTTCATCAAGTAATAACAAATTTATCTGTATATAAAAGTTATAAGATAATTTGTTTAATAATAAATAAATACTTTTATTTCCTGCAATATTGAAGAGCATAACATATATACAGAGGTGAACATAGACATATACATAAACAAGTATAATACATATTAACAAAATAGTATATCCAATTTAGCATCGTTCATATAGTAAGAAGAAATGCATTAGAAATATTTTACATTAACTGCATAAATTATATCAGATGTAGAAAACAAATATAACAAAATAAATCTTAACTTACAATTTGTCTCATGAGGTGTTATTTTGTCTTAAATGTTAACTAGTATACTTATCAAGGATCGTATATAGCTTAAGAGGTAAGTATCAAATGTACAAACAGTTATCAAGGTATCATATATTGCTCAGGAGGTAAGTATCAAATGTACAGACAAATATTAACTAGTATACTGTACAGACAAATATAAACTAGTATACTTATTAAGGTATCATATATATCTCAAGAGGTAAGTATCAAATGTACAGACAAAAATTAACTAGTATACTTATCAAGGTATCATATATATCTCAAGAGGTAAGTATCAAATGTACAAACAAATATTAGAGAAAAAAGAAAGTCACTAGTATCAGATATACAGGTTGTGTTGTGTGGATTGCAATATAGTTTGAATGTAATAGTTGAATTTTTATAATAGTTAACATGTATATATTTAATCAAATATTATAAGAAGGTATATATCCGTGTGCTTGTGATAAACATCATTATGTCACATAGATTACAGTAATTTAAATTAGAAATAAAAAAAAAACTGCTTACAGCATTAATTTTTATCCTTATAACATTATGTTGGCATATCTGTCATATTTGACAAAAGTCTATGCGGACGAAAACGAAAACGTATAGACTGATGAGATGACAACTACATGATATCATGTTATATATAAATATAGTTATACTATTTAGAGTTGGTTCCTATTTTGTTAGTTTTACAAGTCCTGTATTAGGTATTAATTACACCGAGTTAATTCCGGCTTTTTGTTCATTATAGAGACCTGGAACTCTATAAGATTTCACAGTCACCCTCCAGTTACCAATCTTTTCTAGATAGTATATATTGTTTTCCATTCTCTAACAATTGTATTGTTTCATCAAGTAATAACAAATTTATCTGTATATAAAAGTTATAAGATAATTTG